CGGCTGGTAAGGAGCACAGATGCCTGAACTTCCAAATCTTTCCTCTACACACACACACACACACACACCCAGATGCAAACAGCATGGATGCCCAGACACATCATCAGATACACGGGAAACAGATGAACATTGAAAGGTACACGTGTATCTGGCAGAATGTTTGTTGGGAAGGAAGGACAGAGTTTAAAAGAAGGTTTGGTGGAGTGGAGGTGAAGTTATCCAGGCATCAGGAGGGTCCCAGGATCACCCCTGTGGCTCTGCTTCAGGCAGGCAGAGCTGTGGGACTAGGGCCGAGACCCATTCGTCCCTCTCCTGGGCACTGCCCTGCAACCCAGCTGGAGATAAGACTTGGAGCCTCCAAGACGTGCCCACCATGGGGCCCCATCCTGCACAATCTTCGCCAAGTTTTCTACCTCCCTCTTTATCACTCTTCTTGGCTCCTGAATCCAGCAACCTGGCAGGAAAAGATAAACCTAAGCCCTGCGTTCCCACCCCTCTGGATCTCATAACAAGGCAACAGTTTCCAGGGCAGAAGCTGGATTTCAGGATTTGGGAGGAGGAGGGGGAATGGCGTGTTTGCCAGGGGCGGTGGGGTTTGGTCCCAGGGCGCACGTCTCCTCTGAGGCCCTCTCCCTGTGGGCCCCTGCAGTCGCAGACCATGAGGAGTCAGGGTGTGGCTGGATGGCACCTTCCTGATGGTGACCCTGATGGCCAGGCTGGCTAGCTGTCCTAGCCAGTGAGACCACCATTGGGGTGTGGCAGGGCCAAGAAAGGCCTGACCTCCAGCCTGAGTCCTTGCTGGTAGAGGGGGCTTGGAGGGATCCCAGTGAGATGTGCAGCTGCATTTGATCCGGCGAGAAGGCTGATGTGAGCTTGTCGACAGGCCGGGGAGCCCCACAGCATGCTGTCCCTCCAAAGCACCTTCTCTGTGACCCATTTGATCTTCTTTCTTTATTTTATTTTATTTTGAGATGGAGTCTCACTCTGTCACCAGGCTGGAGTGCAGTGGCATGATCTAGGCTCACTGCAACCTCTGCTTCCCAGGTTCAACTGATTCTCCTGCCTCAGCCTCCCAAGTATCTTGGACTACAGGCGTGCACCACCGCGCCCAGCTAATTTTTGTATTTTTAGTAGAGATGGGGTTCTGCCACGTTGGCCAGGCTGGTCTTGAACTCCTGACAGTCTTGAACTTCTCAGGCAATCTGCCCACCTTGGCCTCCCAAAGGAAGGTTTCACACCTGGGATTACAGGCGTGAGCCACCTCGCCTGGCCTCTGTGACCCATTCAAATGAATGGTATCCCCATATCCCCGAGTCAGAATTTGGGAGCCATCCTTGCCCTCTTCCCTTCCGTCTTTCTCCGTCGTCCACACATCCAGCTTCTATTGGTTCCGCGGACTCTCCAGTAAGTCCCCTTTTCCCAGAGGACCCGGCCACCATATTTATTGAGCATTGACTAAAGCCAGTTGTGACTCAGGTGTGGGGACAGACAAACGCTGAGACAGCTCCTGCTGTCCAGGAATGGGTCCAATGCGTGAGCACACTTGTGTGCCTGTGCACCATGCCTGTGGACCCAGGGTGCAGAGGCAGAAGGCGTGGAACCAGGCAGGGGGACAGAGCCCACTTCCACCCCGTGTGTGGGATTCCGTGGCCCCACTCCTGTCCTTTCTCCAGGATGGAAGCCCTACTTGTGTTCTGTCAGGACCTGAGGAGTCCAGAAAGTGTGTAGGGCCTTCAGGGGAGAGGCTGGGGGCAGGCGGAGAAGTGGGAGTCCTCAGCACTGAGGGGGCAAGCACCCCGCAGGTGTGGGGGTGAGGCCACCCAGGGAGGGTGTGCAGGTGAGACAGAGGAGGCCAAGCTCAGAGTTCTGGGACCACCTCGGTGAAGGGATAAGCAAAAGCACGGTCACTCAGGAAGGTCACTGGCGAGGGAAAGAGGAGAATCGCGTGAGTGAGGAAGAAGAGGGAGTGGTCCTGGGGGTCCCGAGGGTCATGGGGGTACTGGAGGCTCTCAGGAGCAATTTTAGGGGATTGAGGTCTCCAGCCAGTCAGGTGCTGCCCTGACCTGGTGGAACCTGACTGCTGTCCCAGGAGGTGAGCTGGGACTGGTGTGCAGGAAACGGGGTGCCGCACCCCAGGTCTGGGGCAGGGCTCGGGGTTCCAGTCCTGTCTTCGCATGCTTTGCTGTGTGGCCTTGCGCCAGTCCCTGCCCCTCCTAGGGCCTCGGTTTCCCCACCTCAGGCCCGAAGATGCTAACTTCCCCACCTTTGATTTTGGCCTGGCAGGATTTGATTTTGTGAGACGTTGGCAGGGGGGCTGGGGAAAGTGTGTCCCGTCTTCTGGTCTTCTGAATCCAGCCTAAACCAGAGCAGAGCAGAGCAGAGCAGAGCCCGGTGCGCAGCAGCCGGCGCACAGCCAGGAAGTGGGGGGACAGAACCAGGGGGTGGGGTGGGAAGGGCAGTCGCCAGGGCCCCCAGGCCTTGGTGGGGGGTTGGCCTCCATTTGCTCGCTGACATCAGGGCTGGTGAATGTGCAGGGAGTTCAGCCAGGTTCAGGGGCCCTCACCTCCCTCGCAGCCTGGTACTGGGCAGGGGTGGAGCTGCGGAGCGTGGGGGAGGGGCCTGCAGGGAGGGCTCCCAGGAGCCCCTGGCCTGGGGGCAGAGCTGCAGCGTGGCTCCATCTGTCACAGAGCCAGGTCAGAGGGTGGTGCTGACCCTCCGTCCCCCTCCCCCTTCCCATCCCAGAATCACCCTCTTCCTCATGCCCCTGGCTCCTCTCTCCACTCCTAGGTGCACCCCTAGCTAGTGACTGGGGGGTCTGACTGCTCAGAAAAAGGAGCCAGAGGGATGGTCTCATGCTATCTGCCTTCCCAGAACCCGTAGTGAGCCCCCAGCTCTGCCCTTGACCGAGTCTCTTCTCTGGCCCCAGAAGCAGCCAGGCCCCGTCCCCAGGAAGCTCCTCTTACACATTCCCATGTGGCTCAGGAGGGACCAGATAATGCATCTGAGGTTGGGGAGTGTGGATGCATCCCAGGCAGCCGGGCTTTGCCATCAGTCACCTCCTCCTCCCTGCCAGGCTTCCTACCCATGGCCCAGCCAGCCTGCCTTCTCCTGGAGGACGGAGAGAAGGCTGCGGACCAGCGTAGCCAGTCCCTCTCAAGACGTCTCCATATGGTCCTTCCTTGGATCTTACAAGGGAAGGGACTGGCTCCTGTGGCTGAGACCAGGGTTTCTGAACTCGGGGTTCTTGTGCTGAGACCTGCAGGGGCTCTGAGAGCGGTCTGTAAAGAGCAGCAGCAGCAGTGTCTCTGGAGGCTGCTACGAGAGATTCCGCCTGAAGGGAGCAGCTCGGCTCACCCTGTCCCGACAGCTACTCGGAACGCACACATGCTCACACAAACATGCAACACGCATGCCTTTTGGCATTTGACTTTTTCATGAAATAGTTGCTGGAAGGCTCCTTGGATTAGGTAACTCGGCGTTCTTTCCCGTCCCCTTGAGGCGGGGGTTTTGGGGGAGAGAATGAGCATTTAGCATCTGTCAGGCTGCTCCACTTCCTTTGGTGCAATGATGGCCAACCCAGGAGGGTTTGTAAGCTCCAAACACCCTTGGGAGCTGAACACGATATGAACAAGCCTTTCAGACTTCTCCTTCCTGCAGGTCAGCTGGCTGTGCCTGCCCAGTCTCTGGGCCTCTCTCAGGCAGGCCAGGCTTGGGAAAAAAAAGAAGGCCAGTTAGAAAAGCCTTTTTGTAGGCTGGGCGCGATGGCTCATACCTATAATCCCAGCACTTTGGGAGGCCGTGGCGGGTAGATCACGAGGTCAAGAGATCCAGACCCTCCTGGTCAACATGGTGAAACCCCATCTCTACTAAAAATACAAAAATTAGCTGGGCGTGGTGGTGCACACCTGTAGTCCCAGCTACTCGGGAGGCTGAGGCAGGAGAATTGCTTGAACCCAGGAGGCGGAGGTTGTGGTGAGCCGAGATCGCGCCATTG